CCCCCCCCCCCCCCCCGGCCCCCCAATCCCACAAGACCACATCCAAAAGAATCCCACAAACGCCGATTTAGTGAGTGAAATGAAAAGTGATCACCTCGTTGTTTAATCATCATCATATATATTTGGCTACAGTTCAAAGTCCGTTATAGATTGAAGATTGAAGGGAAGGAAAGGAAAGGAAAGAGCATTTAAGAAATGAAAGTGGCCTCGGAGAACATGGTGCCTTGCTCCGAGAACTCATTCTCGCCTTCCTTGACTTTGAGTGTGAGCTTTTCTTGAGGGGAGTACTGTCATACGAGTCAGCAAGAGATTATAAGAGAGACGTCGGCCCAACTTACTTGGTAGATATAAGGCCTGGTTCCAGCAACGCTGCCAACAAACGACTTGACGAATCCAGGAAGCTCATACATGACATCTATCCTGTCGAGTCTTTTCCCAAGAGAACCCTCCAACTCGGCATGAATCTCATTGTCTTCCTTGCCCTTTCCGTCCCATGTGAAGTTGATGCTCTTTGGCTCGGGCCAGTCATTCTCTGTATCAGTGTTCGTTTCCAGATGCTTTGCAGAGTTTGTATGTCCTGCATAAAGGATTTTGTCGTCTTTGACAACACCTCCTACGTTGACGACTGTTGAGCCGTATGATGGTGGGGTAGTAAACTCCATCATCCAAGCAGAATATGAGGGACCCTGGAAGTTAACAAAGTTCCATCGTGATGCTACATGACGTTAGCAATCCCCTCATTTACCGTTGTAAAGGGGAAATGACGTACCAGCATGGTGAGGCTTCATGCCTTGAAGCGCAAAAGAGTAAAATCCCAATCCTTTCAAGTCATAGGTCTTCTCCTTAGTAGTGATGGTACCCTCCACAGAACAACGAGGCCAGAAAGCATGCGACATTGAACCCCAGGGGTTAGCAGGATCAGTTCCAAAGTATGAAGTACCATTTTCGCCAATAACAACACCGGGAGCTTTCCGAGTAAAAGCCAGGTTTACCAGACTGCCCTCGTTGACGGCTGATTTGATTGTATAGGCGTCGCCTTCCTCGTTGAGTGTTAATGCGAGGTTATCCGCTCCAAAGGAGTACATGTCCGGGTCGAACAGGTGGTTGTAAAGGGTGTCCGAATGCCAGAGATGAGGTGAACTGCCGTCAAGCGAGTAGATCTTGGTATTGAATTGGCAGGTCGTGTGGAGGCCGCTTTAATAATTATTCTCAGTTGGAATGTTACCTAACTTTCGAGTCTAGATAGGAGTCCTTACGCGATATTGTTGTAGATAACTTGCACCCAAGCTAGAGTACCATCATCGGCCATGACATAGAAAGTCTGAGTTTCCACAGAGGTATACTGAGGAGCCCTCCATTTAAGATCCTCTTTCTTCAGCTCGGTGTAAGGCGTCTTTTCTGCTTGCTTAGTAACGGGTTGTATGGCGTCCGGGCCATAAATGGGTTCCTGGGTTCCAGCCACATTGGCCAAACTGTGATGTGAGCTTTGATCAGCGACCGAACTGGGGTTTTGTGATTGTGTGCAGATAGGAGCTTTAGGGGGGAGGAAGATCGTACGTCTGCTTGAGCCAATTCATAACTGCGGTAATATCGGTGTTATCGTAATATAATTTGACAAGAAAACAGGAACACTTCCAGTCCAAGTAATCTTAGGTTTGATTGTTATGATGTGAAAAAGAACCGAGTTCTTTTGTGAGGGGTAGATTTGTGAGCACTGAACTTAGGAATCCCGATTAAAAAGAGCGGGACTGACTAGCCGTGATGGAGCAGCCAATACTTAACCGCCTTGAAGATGATCGACTACCGGGGCCCGTTAAAAAAATTGACTGCTGGAAAGAGTTGATTCCAGGAAGACGTATTCAAGGTGAGAGTGTTTTGACGGATGTTTAAACAAGAGATGAATTGAAACTGGGATGAGATCACGTCCACCTGGTGACGTCGAGAGTTCTAGCCAATCAGACTAAGTCGTTGTGGCCCAATCGGGCTTAGTTGGTTGCTGAATAAGGCTAGCCTCTTTTACCTAAGATATCTTTGAGATTTCATAATCTAGCAAAGAGATAGTTAACTATGGACTGTTCTTTATGAGACTGACGTAGATTTCCGGACATAGCAAGTTTGCCCTTCAGCTAAATCGCTGTTGTGACACTTTCTGCTTGTTGAGGTGGAATTTCACAACACAATTGGTTGAGATACATGCGGAGAATCTATAATCCGGCCCGGCGCGCCAAGCCTCAAGAAAAGTTCCGGGTGTTTTTGTTGCCAAAGCTCATCGGCAAAGAAATATCAGGCTATCGCCATTTCTCCCCGGTGCTTCCAGGATCTTTCAGCGCCTAGTCTTCGTGATATCTTAAGCAGAAGTCTCACTTTTACATATCAAAATGGCAAAAAAGGTTCTCGCCAAGGACCAATTCGTCAAACTCATCGTCGGCGCCGGTCAAGCGAGTCCGAGTCCCCCTGTCGGTCCTGCATTGGGAAGTAAAGGTGTAAAAAGTATGGATTTTTGCAAGGTGAGATCCTTTGAGAATCTAGTCTATGATGGAACGTGTCTGACTAATCATATACAGGAGTTCAACGCCAGAACTGCAAACATTGAACCCGGTACCCCCATCCCAGCCTACATCACCATCCGCCCTGATCGCTCATTTGCCTTCGAACTGCGAACGCCTACTACATCATGGCTTTTACTGCAAGCATCCGGAGTAGCACCGCGCAAGGGCCGACTCCGTGGAGCTCAAAATCCAGGTACTGAAGTGATCGGATCAGTGACTCTCAAACACGTTTATGAGATTGCCAAAATTAAGCAATCTGAGTTGAGGCTATCGGGATTGAGTCTGGAAGGCTTGTGCAAGAGTGTTATTGCTCAGGCCAAGTCAATTGGCCTGAAGGTTGTGAATTAGGTCTTGTCGTTATGATATAGCCATTCCTTCCGTTACATTTATTGTTTGCATATGCGCTGGCGTTCAGGGATGTCTCACATTTATACGAAATCTGTATTATAGTCTGGAGACTTTGAGGTATGCTTTGGTATATATCTAGAGTTGGCAAAATGTTGTTTCCGAGCTGTCATACCATGTATACTATTTGACTTCTCATGTTTTTATTCGCCCAAAAGAAGCACTGAACTATCTGCAGTCACCAACCCTCTCCAATCCAGGTGGCCTTCTATTACTCTGCTTTCAGGTTGGTCGTCTGCAGCGTGATCAACCACAATTTGATACATGACGTCTAGGGCACTGGGCAGCCTTGATGCCGGCAGGTGGGCGCGAATGCACCTAGGTATTCGTACAGGTAATAGGCCGAACACGAACCCGGAAGAGTTCATATATCTATTTATTTCTATTTATCTCAATTTATCTCCATACAGGGTGGCTATAAGATCAATTGCATCGTTCGCACTTTCCTCCTAACGGCTCAGGTGCTTTTCAACATTCCATCAAGGGTTCAATGTTTGCGCTTCCAACGTCATATATCGGCCCGTCTGTTGTTCTTGAATCAATGTGAGGACATTTGCAATGATTAATCTTGAGATGAACAACTTTACGATGCAATTCTGCTTGCTCGGGCTTGCGGAACAGAACCGAGCAGTCGAATTTATCCGCGCCGGGACAGGGATGTCCGAATCCTCTGTGATGTACTTTGGCATGCACTTTTGCATTTTCTTCATTCGAGAAATCACGCGAGCATTTCCCATCGGACAAGGTATCCTGGGGACACTCTTTTGAACGTGGTCTTCATGCCTCTTCGCCTGCCAGGCATTTTGGGCAAAAACGATACTGCAGCCGGTTTTGTCCTTTGTAGGGCAAGGTATATCTTCTTCAAGATGGACAATTTGGATATGTTTCAATAAGCTGCAATTCCCGTACAAGTCCTTGCCACAGTCCACGTATGGATAGACAAATCTCCGCCCCCCTCGTAGATGCTCCGTATATGTTTTTCGAGGTTTCCAGCAAGTGTATATACCTTTCCACGTTTCTCGTAAGGACAAGGATGACTGGTAATTCGATGCTCGGCTTTCACATATTCTCTTAGAATATCCTTTGTATCGAACACTTTGCCGTACTGGGGACATTCTTGGATAGTCTCGTGGGTTGCCATATGTCTCTGCATATTAGTTTTATGCTGGATTGTCCAACCACAAATAGGGCATATAAGAACCTCCTCACTATGTGAAGCTTTACCACGCGCTTTCAGCAATAGTTCAGATTTGAATGCCTTTCCTTCATACTCTGGACAGACTTGCGTTTAGTGGCTTCCATCGTCGCAGTCTAAAAGCCCTCTGCACGATAACTTGAGGATTTATCAACGATTAAATATCGGAACCTAAATCCCAATTGTGAAGAGAAGAAAATGAAGAAGAATGGGTTCATGTGTGGGAGTCGATTTTATAACAACCGAGGCGGAGATACCCAAAACGCGAATAGCAGGAAGGCCCCGAGGTCCCAATGCCCGGCCATTGTTTAAAAACATTTTGACTATGAGACGGATTCCATCCGCGAAAGGAATATGCCTCAAGGTAGTACCAACTAGCGAGACAAATGCAATGTTGAGCATCTACGGTAATTCCCATATACTCCTGATACCAATACCGAGGTGGGCTAATTTGAAGAAGTGGGCTTCACCAATCAAATATTTACATCTCAATGTTGCCCAGGTACGTCAAACGGAGATATAGGAATAGATTATTGTGCTCTCGTGACCATTTCTTAAATTGTATCAAGTTGGTCTCCGTATTGAAAGAAAACTGAAGAGGAATGTCCGTCATATATCGGGGGTACCGCCAATTCCTGAGTAAGCCGAGGTTTCTTAAACCCTAAGTGGCTTTTATAGCATACATGCATGGGCCTTCGATATATACTAATCATAATATGGGCAATATCTAACTTGATCATCCCATACTGATAGTATTTCAAGGTTTTTATAGGTATGGCTAACCGTAACTACATACCGCCAGTGCTACCCACCAAAGTCCTGACTCAGGGGCATCTGGAGGCAGCAGGTCCTACCGGTATACTACATACGTAACGAAGAGAATATCATAAGTGTCATTCTGCATGGTTAAACACAATAGTTCCGGAAATGACCCGCAGATTGCAAGCTTGATGCCCGTATCCATATAGTAAGTAGTAGCTGGTCATATTGATACCGGAGGCAAGAGTATTTTCTCCGTGTTACTGCGAAAGTCATAGTGACCAATTTTGAACTTTAATCTAGCCCTACCTTCACGACAGAATATTGTCCGATTGGCTCGTGGTATGATTTTTAGCAGGAACTTTTTGGTGTTGGGGTAAAAATGTGTATAATAAATATATTCAAACAGTGTGAGGATGTTATTGTACGAAATTTGGAATTACTTGTAACTGATATTCCACGGCTGTGTTCAATGTTGTCTGGATCGCGTATATAAGAACACTACGTGTACATGTACATAGAGGGTAAGTTTCTTAAGTTACGTAGTACTAACTTAACTACCTAAATACTCAAGCGATTTAGGTGGATCAGATCTACGAAATTTAATCAATAGCGACCACATTATGTATATTCAAAATGTTAGGTAAAAGAGCAATCACAACAGATATTCATTGACTCTGACTTTTTGTTCCCCCTTGGAATCCCTTCTGACACCCGGCCTGTACAACTCGCTCAAAAATGGATCACATAAGACACCCATCCTTGATACTTGAATGCATCTCACTCATTCCCACACGAATTCGTTGATACCCATTCTGTGTCTTATTAGTAGTTCCAGAAGATGCCACAGGAACAGCTCTGTTCCCTCCACTCATCATTACTGGTGTAGTGCTTCGCTGTGGACTTGTTGCTGCTGGTGTCGGCGATGTTCGCTCAAGACGGAACACTTCAACCATCCATTCATACCAGACTTTGCGATTGTCGGTTTGTCGGTACATGGTTACGACGACTTCGCCGTTGTCGGGGACGTAGAGAGGAGTCTAGCCCGAACAGCTTAGTAAGACGTATTTCAAACTACTATAATCTAACATTTTGCAAAGGGTTACCTTAAGTGGAAAGTATATAGGGAACCAACTGATCATCCCAGGACTTTTGGCGTCCATCGTCACTGGATTGGTGGACAACTCAATATCACTATAAAGCACAGTCTCAAAGTACCCTGCCAGCCCATGACAGACGCCACGATTCTGACAAGGGAAAGCAAGACGGGTTTGACGGACGTTGTGCTCATTAGTAATCATAGACGAAGTTGTTGACAGAGGAGGAATATTGGGGTTGTGATGCGAAAAGGACCAAGCTGGAAGTACAATTGGAGTTGGAGCTTCAAAGACCGGTGGCGGCGTTAATGTCGAACTCCTGGCACCGACTGCGCTGTGTGTACTAGTAACGCTGCTACTGAGTTGGGTTGTGTGACTGGCAGCTTGTCCCCCTCCAGGTGATGAAGTTGTAGACAAGTAGTCAATGGCATGAAGCATGACTACATATGGCGTCTCAGGTGCAGCAGGATTGGATATTCTCTGACCACATATGTCGGCATATAACTTTGGCGCTGCAATAGGTGTCAAATGTGCAGAGTATGATGCTGGGATAGATATACCATGTCCTGGGCTGAGTAAATGCGTCACTCCATCTAAGCATTCCGGCGAAAGCTCGTTGTCTCCGAAAGAGCCCAGGAGCTCAGAGATGAGAATGTCAATAGGTGTGTGATCCACAGAGCCCTGGTTTTGTGGATCTGCACTATTTTCGATCTCCCTATGAGGACCCTTCCAACTTCGCATGTCCGATTTGACCAGATTCACAGCACCGCCCCAGATGTTCTCGTTATGGTGCTGGAGAAGAACAAACGCATTTGGATTCTTCTCAACAACCCACATTTCAATCTTGACACCGGTCTCTGCACTTGCACGTAGAGCGCGCGTCACCAAAGGGCCACGACCAGCACCTACGACAGCAACGACGACTTTACCATCTGGGCCTGACGTGGGTTTCTTCTGCTCCATCCAGTCGCTCAGAGCTTTCGCAACAGCTCGTTCATACCATGCATATTTGATAGGATCCTTCTCGAATACTTCGTAGGTGATACTCTCCAAATTCACTGTCAACGGTTGCAAGGGGGCCTGCAAGTAATCTTGGTATCCAGTGCCGAACCTCTCGATGGGAGTACGAGGAGGTTGCCGTTGTTGGAGATTCCTCATGTAAGATAGATGGGGTGTGGGGTCGTGGTGCTTTCTCGCTTGAGCCATGGTCTGTGCAATAGTAGGATAATCAGTCTTATCGACGGGAGCTTCTCCCGTCTGAGATACATCGTCTGCCTCAAGACCAGGGATCGGGCCAACATCGCAAAGCAATATCCATGGAGGTGTGCGAAGCCGCATAAACTTGGCTATTAGTGCTTGATGAGCTTTGGATAAGACAGGATATCCTTTTTGATTTTTAATGAAAGTCGTTGCATTGATCGTCAATAGGTGGACAGGCTCCGAATACCACCTTGTCTGGACTTGCAGGATCGGAAGAAGTTTTGGGAGTGCCAGCGCTATAAATATGTCAGACAATAGCCTTGAAACAAGAATAGATACGCCCTTACCGACTAATAACCTAGAGTGGTGTTTGCAGGTCGTTCGTATGATCTCCCATGCATCCCAGGCTCCGAAAAGATCAATCTTGGCCGAGCGGTCTTCACTTGGATCAAGGAACTCAGTCCGTGCAAATGGAGACAAATCTCCCATTTCAGTAGTCTCCAATCCTGAAATTTCAATCATCTTCAACCAGATATGGAATTGGATATATGGCGCAATGGTCAGGGCTTCCTGTATGGCTCTGGCATAGTATATCAGCCCTTCGCAATGAAGATTGCCATGTTGAAGCTTAGGCCCTGGAACTAGGAGATAGCTAATGCCGCAAAATGCCGCGTATGCAACCTCCAACATCAACACTTGGCGAGAAATTTCGGCTATCAAAGGATCTGGTGAGCATAAATCGATCCAGGAACTAGTGATTCCAACAACTTGGCTAATTGCTTCGTTGGGCGTTAAAGGTGTATCTGCCGGCGAGAGAGGAGGAACTGTAACAGCCTTGGTGTTTAATGAGGTTGCCCGGGTGCCAATTGAATCATAAGATGGTGGCTCTAATGAAGATAAATGGGACGATAGTAAGGATAAGACGCGGGAATGAAAATGCGAATTCGTTATTGGAGTAGTCAGCATGTCATACTAAAGAATGTCAGTCAATTGAAGCATTTATGCTGCATGATATCAATTGGAACATACATTACTCGCGTGAGCAAACTGAATCGACCGTGTACTCAACGGTACTTGACGGTTGGATTCATGTTGACCTATACAGAACGAATGGATCATATCCTCGGTTTCTGGAACAGTCTCCATGACGTCTGTATTAAATAAGCTTCGAATAGTGGTTCCTTGTTAGCAGATTGTAGAGATACAGAGTAATAATGGACCTATAGCTTTTCGGTTGTTGGGTGCAGCGTCTCTGACAATATAATAATGTTCCAGCTGGTTAAGCAATCATTTGAATCCAGTATCTCGATTAGTCGAATTTGCCTGGATAGGAACTCGAAAAGAAATTTGGATAATCGCTAGAATCAATAGAATTGAAGCTTGATTGACACTACCGAGCTGACATGATGAAGGTTTTCTGTCGATTGTGAGTGCTGGATAGGATCTTAAGATTCCGACAGGATTATGAAGTTAGATAGGGATGAAAGGGTCGAAAATTGATTATGTGAGCTGTATGCAGGATTCAAACGCGTGAGATATCGGTCCCTCGAGCTAAGACAGACGAACAGTTGATCAAAGCAGTCCTTGTTGTGCGAAGGGGGGTAAATCGGCGTCAATATTTATTTTCTGGGGGTCCCGCACGGTGCCTGGCTGATTGTCTGATCTGGAAGGCGGTGACCCCGATAAGCAACTGTGGCGCACATCAGCCCTTATCCGGCAACACTAACTCAACTTTTTCTTTTTTCTTCTGTTGAATCTCTTCGTCCTCGACACTCGACGGCCTCACCACATTTGTTCTGCGTGGTCGCGCGGTGTGACTGATTCTACACACATTTGAATCTTGCGACTCTCATTATGGGTGACAGACGTCCTGATTCAACAGACAGTTCGCGTGCAAAGCGGCAAAAGAAGGATACCGCTGAAATGGATCCCCGCAACAACCCATACCTTGCTCATATGTATCCGGAGAAGAATGGAGATGGAAGCTCAAAAAATGGTCCCTTTGCGAAGTTCAAAAGGCACCAGACCACCGCTGCTCTCGCACAAGAAGCCGAAGACGCAGAAATCAATCCCTTTACCGGTCGTCCCTTCTCCAGTACCTACTTTTCCATCCTGAAGACTCGTCGAGACCTACCGGTCCATGCGCAGAGAGACGAATTCCTGCAACTTTATCAGAAGTCACAAATTCTTGTTTTCGTTGGTGAAACTGGTTCAGGAAAGACAACGCAAATACCGCAGTTCGTTCTCTTCGATGAGCTTCCGCAGTTACAAGGCAAGATGGTCGCATGTACTCAACCACGTCGAGTCGCTGCGATGTCCGTAGCGCAACGTGTAGCCGCTGAAATGGATGTGAAATTGGGCGAGGAGGTCGGTTATAGTATTCGTTTTGAAGATATGACAAGCTCGAAAACGATCCTTAAGTACATGACCGATGGTATGCTTCTTCGAGAAGCTATGAATGATCACGACCTCCAGCGTTACAGTTGCTTGATAATTGACGAAGCGCATGATAGAAGTTTATCCACAGACTTGTTAATGGGATTGCTGAAGGAGGTGGTACAGCGGAGGCCGGATTTGAAAGTCATCATCATGTCCGCTACCTTGGATGCGCAGAAGTTCCAGCGCTATTTCAACGATGCCCCGCTTCTTGCAGTACCAGGAAGAACTCACCCTGTAGAGATTTTCTACACGCCTGAGCCAGAGCAGGATTATGTCGAAGCCGCCATTCGCACAGTCCTGCAAATCCACGCTACTGAACCTGAGGGGGACATATTGGTATTTTTGACGGGGGAGGAGGAAATTGAAGATGCGGCTCGGAAAATCTCCCTTGAAGCAGATGAGATGACGAGAGAAGCAGATGCGGGTCCAATGAAGGTCTATTCGCTGTATGGCAGTCTACCACCGCATGTGCAACAACGAATTTTTGAACCGGCCCCTGGCCCGCGCAGACCCGGTGGTCGACCTGGCCGGAAGGTTATTGTGTCAACCAACATTGCTGAAACATCGCTTACCATTGACGGCATCGTCTATGTCGTGGACCCAGGATTCTCCAAACAGAAGGTCTACAACCCCCGTATTCGAGTCGAGTCTCTTCTGGTATCACCCATCTCCAAAGCGTCCGCCCAGCAAAGAGCCGGTCGTGCCGGTCGTACACGTCCCGGAAAATGCTTCCGCCTGTATACGGAGGCCGCATTCAAGAAAGAGCTCATTGACCAGACTTATCCAGAAATTCTCCGATCCAACCTTTCTTCCACTGTTCTCGAGCTCAAAAAACTCGGTATCGATGACCTGGTGCATTTTGACCTGATGGATCCTCCTGCACCGGAAACATTGATGAGGGCTTTGGAAGAACTCAACTATTTAGCATGTCTTGATGACGACGGTAATCTGACACAATTGGGTCGGTTGGCGTCGGACTTCCCTCTTGACCCAGCGCTGGCCGTGATGTTGATCACCTCCCCGGAGTTCTACTGCTCTAATGAAATCTTGTCTATAACAGCTCTGCTCTCGGTGCCTCAAGTGTTTGTACGCCCACACTCACAGAGAAAACGCGCCGATGAGATGAAGAACCTATTCGCCCACCCCGACGGCGACCATCTCACACTCCTGAACGTGTACCACGCCTATAAAGGTGCAGATGCTCAACAAGACCCGAAACAATGGTGTCACGATCATTTCCTTTCTCTACGCTCCCTACAATCCGCAGATAATGTGCGCCTTCAGCTTCAACGGATCATGGAGCGGGAAGAAATCGATCTCGTATCCACGCCATTCGAGGATAAGAAGTATTATGAGAATATTCGCCGTGCTCTCGTAGCTGGATTCTTCATGCAAGTCGCTAAGAAGGACAGTACGGGGAAAAGCATGTACACCACAGTAAAGGATAACCAACATGTCCTCATTCATCCAAGCACGGTCCTCGGTCATGATGCTGAATGGGTGCTTTATAATGAGTTTGTTCTCACGACGAAGAATTACATTCGGACAGTTACGGCTGTGAAGGCTGAATGGCTCTTGGTAGGTTGCTTTCGCTTCCCTTTTACTCACAAGATCAAGGTCTAATCATTTTCCAGGAAATTGCACCTACATACTACGACATCTCAGGTTTCCCCAAGGGAGATATTCGCTCTGCTCTGTTACGTGCCAGTGAGAGACTTGCGCGTAAGGAGAAAATGCGAGGCGGTCGGTAGGCGGTTCAAGGGGATGGAGGGACATAATTAGATATGATTCTTTTTGAATGTTTTTTACAGATAGAGATATGCCATTTAAGAATTTGCATGCGGTTAGAGAATAAAAAAACTACTCTACAAGCAGCGGCTTGATAAATGGATTTTTTCGAATGTTCTCGTTATAATGAATACGAATTCAAGTTCTATCTCAATATCCCCATGTTTTCGCCATATATAGTAACCCATGAGAATGAAATGGCTGGATAAATGAAATCACCATGGTGAATACAATATAATATACACAGCTTAGACAAGCAGTAATTGTTGATCAACCACAGAACCAAAAGACATCCTCCAACGCCTTTGACGGTATCAATTCTCCTTCTCTAAACTTAAATTATCTATGCGGTGATGCAAGTATTCCAACTGCGACCGAAGATTCTTGATCTTGACTGATGGTTCGACAGGATAGCTTGTCGTTGATTTTTGGGTCGCAGGAGATTTGTTGGTATCGGATTGTAGTTTGGCATATTTTGACGACAGTTGAGTGATCTGTGGTTCGTCTGGTAGATCTAAGGAGAGCGTGGGTGATGTATCGTTGTCATAATGTGTTGTCATATGCTGTAAATGAATGATCTTCGCCGCGGTCAGATCTGCGAACCTGGTACATTTCTCATGGAGCGGCAACTGCTGTTGCTGTGAGAAATCCATTTCGACTTTCGCTTGCGCTTTCCTCCATTTTTTAAAAGTGCCAAGTAAGTAGTTCAACTCCGATCTTTCTGATATGTAAACCAAGCTGTAGTCAAAACCACTCTGTACTGCAGCTTGAATCAACGTCGTAGACAGATTATATCGACCGCAGCGAGCACTAAAGTCAGCCATACAGAGGATAAGTCTTGCGATACGGTCTTCTTCGAAATCTGAAGACGAGATCATGTAATTCAGTGCCCTGACGAGGGTAGATAGGCCAGTCTCGAAGTCATTTCGGATAGCATAGAATCTCAAAAACGCGGATAGAGTATCCAGGTTATCAATAAATCCGTGAGCACGGGCTACCTGCATGTAAGCCTCCGCTTTCTCCGGTTGGTCGAAACGCAGGGTTGCAGTAATGACACTGGTAATGAGAACAGGGCTGAAGCCTCCTGTGGGAGGAACTGTAATTGTAATCCCATTCACGTTTCTCTTCACCCATGTTGTCCGTAGATTGACTGAATAGCCACCTTCGCCTCTTAACATTTGAAGAAACAGATCAAAATCTTTTAGATTCTTCGTCTTTCGGAAGTGCGAGATAATAGCGACGATCAAGGGTGTGCTGAGTTTGAACAAATTCGGGATCAGGCATTTTAGCACCAAGTCAGCCAAGTCGTTTTGGTGCCATCTGGTGAAAGCATTTATAAGAAGTGAAAATGCAACAGGACGGTCTGGTTCTTGACAGGTCAAGAGATTGTCTGACACTTGCATCAACAATTGTTGCAGGGACAATTTGCCATTCGCGTACTGCTCAAGGTCTCTTTTGAGAAGAATATCGTATCGATCTCGGTCATCGCGCATCGTTTCTAGTTCTTCGATGGTGAAATTTTGCATAAGATCGTCAAATTTTGCGTCCCTAATATATTTCAAAGAGTATAGCCGTCGTCGCACACCCCGGAGCCGATTCAATAAAGCATTAGGGGATCCGGTGGACGGCTCGTCCAGTCGGTATTCTACTGGGAGACCAGAATAATCATGCGCAACGGAAGGCCGTAATATCATTCTGTAGACGAGTTGTTGAATAGCTAATTTTTGTATAGCTTTGATGCGAACTATGCTGGAGCGTTCCCATTTAAAGTCTGGCTCAGGTCGTGGGATCATATTATTCATATTGGAGAGATCCTCATCAAAAGTTTCATACTCGAAGTTGCCGGTTTCCTCATCACTAGCACTTTCTCGGGTTGATACACTGAGTAGTGTTTCTTCAACGAAGGCTGTTTCATCGATGTCCGCTTTACGGGAACTATGCCCTGCAATATCACTGATAGTCCAATCACTTTCAACGGCGTAATCATCTGCAGCGCTCTTCTCTATAGGTGCCTTGGTGCTAAAAGCACGATTTGCCAGTGTTTGTGCATTTCTCGTTTCAATTTGAGCACCGGCCCGGTAAGACCAGGATTGAAGGGCACCAGCAGAAGTTTGTCGAGTCTTTCGAGCAGACAGTGCTTCCAAAAGCCGACGTTCTTCATCCATCAATTCATCTATCTCTTCCTGAACTGCCGCGATTTTATCCTCCCATTCTTGCCGACGTTTTCGTTTCGATAAAGCGTCTGCGATGGTTGCACTGGCGAAGATACTTCCGTATAGAGCTGTAACTGCATTTGCTGTACGAAGGCCTCGACGGCTGCTAGCCGTGGCAGGGCGCGTAGCGACTCCATTGACATACGTCCTCAAGCAAGTTTTGCATCGGCAGCCCGATGACGGTAGCCGAGCCACTCGCGACAGGAAACCCTGCATTATCTCATTATTTCGCGGACGCAGATATATCAATTGAAGGTGCTCATTCAATGCTGAGTTATATGAGGAATCGCAGCTTGATGTAATCGACTAAGCACCGCGAATGTCCGGGAGGAGGAGTATCATGATGTGATCTGAAGTCATGCAACTCTAAGAAGATTTAGCGTCCGGAATTGGGGGACTTTCCCAGAGGTGCAAACACTGCAAACACAGCTCGGGGACGACATCTTAGGAGACAAGACGGTACAAAGATCCAAATTGAACACACCGCGCCGTATGGTGTCAATTTCTTTATTTTAAGTATTTTGTTTCTCTGACTACCTGGTTATTATTTCCTGTATCAATATGCGTGGCATTATCGTTGCACTGCTAGCATTGGCTACGGTTGCATACGGCCACGGACACCACGATGACAATGGAGAGGTAGAGACAGACTGGGCTACGAGGCATATGCGAGGTACATTGGCCTGTTCAATTGCATTGGATAGTTACTAACATAATTGCGCTTCTCAGAGGAACACCACATCGACTCGTTCGACGCCGGCTCATTCTTCGCCCTCCACGATTACGACAATTCAGGGGACTGGAGAAACGACGAAATCATGAAAACGTACGGTCTATTAGACTCATCGAACACCCATCTCGGCGCAGAACAAAAAGACGCAGTAGTCAATGAAGTACTGAGATTATTCAATCCTTCTGGCACCGGAACGGTTTCGCGCGATGAGTGGATGAGCCAGGTTCAGGCTGGTGTCAGATTGCCTGACTTCGGATATGGTCCTGGCCACCATGGCGATATTGAGTACGAATACGAGATTCATCACTTCGAGAAATTTCATGGCGAAGATGCCAAGGAGGAGGATTTGACTCATCCGGAGGATATTGAGCATTTCAGATTGCATGACGAGATGGAACTGGCGGAAGAGAGACTGCAGCAATTGGAAAGCATGCAGATTGTTGAGGGGAATATTCCCAGGAAATTTCTCCGGAATCCATGATCTAGCTGAAATGACCATAATGACTGTATAATACGATATTTGAGAGGTGGAAGACGCGTGTTGGATGCGTACATGTATCAACGAATAGATGTCGTTTGTTTGAGGTACGAGTATCCATTCGCATACCATATCCATGACCAAGGATTTTGAGTTCCAAAGACCCTGGACGAGAACAACGATCACTGTTCGAAGTCGACCTGAATATCGAAAACACAGTGCATGACGCCAGGGGCATACGTCTTGACCTCTTCCACATGGTCACAACAAATCGATAAGCTTTGGCGGTCGATACCGTTCAATCGCCCAGCCAAATTAACATACTCAGCTACGATTTCGTCCCTCTTCTTCTCAATTTCAGTAACATCCACATTCTCATGTACATGGGTCCAGCCGCCATGTTTCCTATCCAAAAGCCTGAGTGAAGGGTCCCATGTAGGCCGAGACGTAGGTAGTAAGCCCAAATTGACATGTCTAACCGGAGCCCAGTGTCCTCTTTTCTTCAGCTCAGGTTGTATTCTCTCCATGATCGCTGGAGCAGATTGATTATCACCTTGAAATATGACAATACGGACATCGTCCGTGAGTTCATCCAGGAGGTTCTCAAGGTTGCCATCGTCCAGCCCAGAGGGTAGACTTTCATCCTCACCCTGCGAAAGAGGAACGACCTTGCAATTCCACCCATTCTCGAGACAGCCTCGCCGCAGACCCTCGACGGACCATGCATTTAGTTCCCAGCCCCATACTCGCTTGACACCTCGTTTCAAGTACGAAAATACAAAATACCCTATTCCAGCATAGAGGTCGATGACACCGACATCCTCTATTCTCTGTCCTTTTAACGAAGACTCATCCAGACCCGTAAACCGTCCTTCAAGACCCAATATACGAGCCTTTTCTGTGATATTACCCTTTGAAAACATCGTATAGAGTGGAGCCCAGTACTGTACTATCCCACCATTCTGTACTGTATGAACCCAAAACGCCTTTTCAAAGTCTTGTTGACTGGGTTTGTATTCGTAATCTCGCAATTCTCCGAAATTACCATATAATGGTACTAAGCCATTAGGGCTTCGCATTAAATTTTCGCTTCCTTGAGAAGTGGTTAATTGTATAGGCGCATTCATGGCGATATGTGTTATAGTTTGCCCCTTGTGGTCGAATGATTTGGCGATTGATGCATATAGTTTCTGGCGATTTGTTTCTGATAGAGATGCATAGCATTCCGCCCATGCTTGAGATGCGGTAAAGACATTTAAAGGGAGCAATAGCATTGGCTGGTAGATTGTAAATCGTTTCGGAAGTCCAGATATGACTGTTGAAGCTGTAGGACCATTGGAGTTATAGTCCCGCAAGAATTGCTGGATGCCTCGCTGAAGTGGGTTGGAACACATCGTGGAGGGCTTCTTTTCCTTTTTATATTTGTCCTTCTCATTCATCCTTGCAGGACCGCTTGTATTCTTTCTCGTCGATTGTGGATCATTGACCGAGTTTTGATTCAGCAGGGATTCATCACAACCATGAGTTTGGTCCCTCATCTCGGTCGAAGATGAGGATTCCATGTCCATATCCATGAGCTGTGGGCTATTGTTTCTTTGGTTTCACTTTTTTATAGCAGAAAGCGTTTTCTTATGAAGTTCAACTTAGCTGAATGTGGCTCATGGCGAAGAGTTGTAAGGGCTGAGTTTGGCACCCTGCAAAGATTTTTGGGCCGTGGAGATGAAGCGTTGACGGGCCATATTGAAAGTCCAGAAGTACGTTGATAGAACCTTTCTATCACCACGTTTCAAATAAAGGAATATCTATCTGCCAGGTGGGTACGATCTCTCCTCGAATACAGGAAAAATTCCATATAGCATGATCTGATGTTTCAAGCATCATCTAACATTATACAGACGAGATTAATCTTCTATAGTACATGCCAAAACGTCCAATCGGACTTCTAAATCTCTACATCACGCTTTCTATATCCGCCCTCGAGAGTATTATAAGTCCACTGGTAGCTACCCAAGAATATCGCACCACCGAGCGCAATAGCTGTCGTACGAGGACCAATCCCCCTCCAAAGAGCACCAGGCCCTTCTTCCTTCAAAATCCGACGCACAACATCCGGTACTCGGACACGATGCGCAGTACCACCAGTCCCCTCTTCGCGTCGAGCAAGCATAACCCTCGTCTTGATTACATCCAACGGCGTCGTCAACCCGGCCGCAATTCCACCAGCAATACTTCCAAAGACCGCACTCGGCGCAGCTGCTATGTGACCCGACGCTGTACGCTCGGAAGCATGGCTATTATCGCTACCATTCCTGCTGTTGCTCCATCGCGCATACCTGTTCTTCATCGCTTCCCACATTGTAAACTGAAGAATTGTAAAAGGTATTTCCCTCGCAATGGTAATCCCCGTTCCTCTATACAATTCACGAATCATATGAAAATAACCCGACCCATCATTTCTCAAGGACAAAATATCCGTTAAGGCCCGTAATGACGAACCTCCAAATAGACCGGCTTGCGCGCGCTGTTTGATGACTTCAGTTGGCACTCGAATAATACAAGCCGTAATCTCACCAAACGTCGACGCCGTAGAATGCGCGATAAAGGTCTGCGTCTTTGAAGCGGTCTGCGTATCTCGCGGAAGTAAATACCGCTTTATGCCGTCGTAGGTAATGAAGAAGAATGCAGCGGAGGGGGCGGATCCGAATAGTACCGAGGGGAGACCAGCGTATATGCCTCGAACTATCTGTCGTAATGCGGGGGGCTTTGTGGCAGTAGCATTGATCTTGTGAGGTGTATCTGTTGCGGCAGAAGAGACGCTCTGACGAGCTTTTTGGAGACGGGTTTTGATGGTGTCGAGGGGGTATAGGGAGAGGTCAACAGTGAAGCCGGCGACAGCTCCGGCCTGGATACAGCGTAAATCGCGTTAGTAATTTTGGAAGGTACTTTCCAATTGAGATTATACATACATATAGAGACCTTCTCCATGGCGATGAGACCAATGGCTCTGGTATATTCTTATTGTCCGCCATGCACTTGTCTGTTTGAGGACGCGGGAAGACGAGGAAGAATGTGAAGCTCAATGACTACCGCGGAGTCATATCCAATCGCAATCTCTTTTCCTAATAATTTCGAAATAGGTGCCTGCGAGTTAATATTCGTCAAATCGAGGTTGCGCAACAGCAATTGCACGCAATTCTTAGAGGTCTTTTCGGTCGTGTGAATAAGTGCAGGTCCGAAGCTCGGAAGCAAGAAATGATGATGCGGAAGATCCAGCGAATTGGGATAAACCCCGATCTATCGTTGTTTTTTTTTGCTTCTTTGCTCGCTACCTACAAATAGAGCTTTTTCATGAGTTCGGATTATTTCGTATCATTTTATTCTAATTCACTAGCAGTCTGTCTGCCGCTTCGTCTTAACCTAATATGCATAATCCACGGGTCCTCCAAGCGAAGTCCCAATTCCTGCTCGACAAAACTGAAGTATATGCAGTAAACAAACGGTCGATTCCAGTGATTTCTGTTATTTTCTCATCAACGAGCTGACTTGCAGCTAACAATCTTGAATAAAAGAAATGTATGATAAAAATGAGTAAAGGAAGGTAGGCGAATAGAGAAATAAGGGTTGTAGATGGCAGTATTATCGCGAACAAGGAAAAATTGGAGTGTTACAGTCCAAAATAAAAAAGAAAAGGAGTAAAGGCATAGCAATAATCGAATTAGGTTTAATTCATCATGATCTATTATTCACAAGGGTAGGTGAGCCATGCAAAAGGGGCTTCCGGGGATGCGACGGCGTTGTCGCACAAGGATATCAGAGAACAGGATGCTATACCACGTTGGGGGATAGCATTTTAGAACATAATCTATAAGAAGTAAGAAACAGGAAGAAAAATAAACAATGGAAGAAAGAAGAAAACATCCTGTCAGGGCAGAGAGAATATCATCATGTAAAACGCCGCGTAGCACCATCAGCTGGGATGACATAAGGCTGTAAGCAGAACTGAGCAAAAAGCAGACACTAAGATCGAGTACATAAAGGGACGGATAGAAATTCAGGCACGTTCCGGAATGGTGATTAGGCTTCTATCTGCCCTTGCTGGCCACTGCGACACTGGATGAGGGTGGCTCTAAAATATGTGCATGGTTCTTCGCCTTTATAACATGGCCTTGATCATCCTGTCGGCAATTTTGAATAAGTTGAATCCAATCGTCTGTCAACACTTCCTCGAGTGTAGCCCGCTCTCTGGGGTTAACTTTAAGCATGCGACCAATGATGTAACGAGATTCCCGAGGTAAAATTCGCAACAATCGCCACGGCCCTTTGATAACTTCTTGACGCTGTCCAGTGTTTGAGTTTGAGCTCGAGCTCGCTGGTAAAGGGGGCGCTTCTTTGCTAGTCGTCTCGCGAGATTTTGGTTTCTCGATTACATCACTTGTCGCCTGCGAATTGGAGGGAGGTTGCGTGGAGGAGGCATCTTGTGATGCCCGAGGTTGGGACTGCTGTGTGTGGGTTGGACTCGTCTTGGCCGAGCTGGTTGCTGGGGGGTCATCGCGTGTGACGGGCTCTGATTTCGCAAATTGGGTATGTTGACTTCCATGGCGGTGATGGTGTCGGTGATGATCAGATTGTGAAGTTCCAGCATTAGCATCAGCTGCCATGGACGGAAGATCCGCAGTTGATTTAGGACGCTCGGTGCGTCTTGGGTGTGAATCAGGAACGGGCGTGCCAGGAGTTGGTGGCGAGACGAACAACTTGTAAGAGTTGTCTGTCACACGGGGTTGCTTCCAAGGAAAGCGTCGGAGAGTCATGCAACAGAATATGATGGCCAAAGACCAAATGTCTGTGGGTCTAGGGTCGTACTTTTTCTCGTCATAAACCTCTGGTGCAAGATATGGATCGGAGCCCACGATGCCTAATGGTTGCTTAGCTTTGAAACTGAAATGGTGATATATAGAACGCGAAGAGATAATCTTACCTGAAGCCAGCACAATATCATTTTCGAAAGGATACCGAAAAACAACGGCACTTCCGAAATCAATCAGCTTCATAATGCCGTGTTCGTTGACAACAACATTGTCCAATTTCAAATCTCGATGAGCCAAGCCCATTGCATGTAAATAGGATACACCGCTGACAATCTGCTTGAAAGAACAAGCAATTTCCTCTTTGCTCATTTTGCCCGTCATGACAATAGCAAACAAGTCATATGGCGCGTATTCCATAACTTCGTACCAATGTCCACCTTCTTGAATGATATCGAGTGTTTCGATGATGTTTCCGTGATGTAACGTAGAGCCGATACAGAACTCAGCAGTGACTTTCTTAGAGTATTCTTTCTCGGTCTCCCATGTGTGTCGATCTCGGAACTGCTTTACTGCGAATGTGACGCCGTCACTGCTTCGCTTCAATAGCCGCACAGAGCCGCCAGCGCCCGAACCGAGAACCCGACCCAGTTTCCCATACTTGGACTGAAGGCCGTGATCATCAGCGAATGGAACGCTCGCCGGGGCCATCTGATGAGTGGATGGCTTTTCGCTAGAAATAGACTTATTGGATTTCTTGGAGGCACTGGATGGCGATTCTCCGCGTTTATTCTTGTGCCCCATGCGGAAGAATCTCTTCAGTTCAACCATTGAACCATGGCTTTTCCCCTCTAAACTATCCTGGTGGCGATGTCCATGGTCCTTCTTGCTGCTAAAGAAAGAGGTCCGCTTTTCACCTGCTGACTTTAGGTCATTGTTGCTACCATTCTGTCCACCATTATTGCTGTTGAACGAACTAGTAGAATGATGTGAACGGCGCTTTGAGTCGATTCCACTGAAGATGAATCTTTGATCTAACTGTGAAAGATTTCGGTTCGGAAGCGGTCGCTTATTTCGGGCGTATGGGTCATTCGGTTCACCGATCGGAGTCATTACTCCAGAAGTGCCGCCTGGAGGCGTGGACCAGCCGTACTCATGCCTGGGTGTCATTGGTGGGCTTTCATCCTGCGGGCTGCCGTCTACAGAAGAAGCCAGGAAGAACTGTGCTCTTCCTTTCTCATGATGTCGTGTAGAAGCTGGGCCAGTGCCTCCAGAATGAGCTGGTACTTCGGAAGAGTTCGGCCGTGACGCCGGTGCGCTTGTGGGTGCAGTAGACGATGCAGGGGGATTACCCGAATTCGAGTTTGAGATGGGTTCGGACAGTGGCGGCGTGATTGCGGATGTTTCATGTTTCTTGGTATGACTGGTCGTCTGGAGGGCGGCGGAACCGCTGTTGTCACTAGACTTACTCTCCCGCGATTGCGTGGCAGCAGGAGTCAGAGGAGGAGACTGCATGAGAGATGCTGCAGGGGTTATTCGCGGCGAATTGTTGCCGGAGACAGTGTTATCTTGAGAGGTAGCGAAGCTGGAGGTGTCCCGAGAATTGACCTATTCATATAACATATTAGCAAACAAGCAATTCGACCAAACACACAAGGATTATGTGTTTAGAGTTCGAACTAATGCGACATAAACACGGTTGGGTGAAAGGCCGCCGCGGGTTGACTCCCCGATGTTTTAAACAGAACTAGCATGGGGCAGAAGGTACATACTCTCGATGCTGGCAAAGAGACGGGCTCGAAAGCGAAATGACGTAGCCGGGACTCTTGCAGGCGGGTATCTTGGAGATTGAGGGTTAACGAACGAATGTCGTCTTTGGTGCTATTAGCATCCCGATTGGCAGCACTGGACCCATTCTGTTGCTCTTCGTCCGTCGTTGGGGACTGAAGAGACTGGAGACTGTGATCTGGCTCGATTTCTTGATTGACCGATGCAAAGCGGACAGCATGTGGCTGCCCCGCTTCGAGGTTCGATTGTTCTCTTAGGCCATGCGTAGAGGAAGTTTGTTGTTGCTGCTGGCCTGGTTGGGATTCTGACGCTGTTGTTTCTAAAGATATATACCCCATTAGTCCAAATTCTGTTTGCCGCCAAGATAAGAATTGAATTTTCTTTTTCGCCTTGGCGTAAAAGCCAAGTTTCGTTGCCCTTTTTTTTTTTTTTTTTTTTTTTTTTCCTTTTTCTGTATTGAAAAGGGTATTGACGTTGACACATACCTGACGTTGCCGTCATATTTTCTCGGCGGGGGACGGAAACGGCAGGCTCAGTACTCGCCATGAGCCTCTATTTCCCTTATCGACCAAGTTCTTATTTCGGAGAGATCACAAAATAATTGCGGGTGCTGCGCGTTGCTGCTGTGGTAGGCGACAATACATGCAGCTCCCCGCCTGTTTCTGCTCCGTCTGTCGAATGGAATGTTCGCCTGAACTTCTCCGGGGTGAGAGTTCTCGGGTATGATGATATTCCGAAATACCAATGACGATCGATCAATGTACATATGAAAAGATCGATTAGGCAAAAGAAGCAATTGATTTTCTGTCCTATTCGAGCGACGACTTCGATATGGTGAGTGATTTTCGCCTTGAATCAATATTTATATGACCGCCTTCCTCTTTCCCTTCAGAGTGCTCAGGCCCTTTCCTCCTGCAGATATATTCTCGATTTGATAGGATTTCTGTCGACAGCCCACGGGGCATTAGTCGTGGGAATGGTGGAATTCCGGGTTGTGGTGAGGCGTGACGGTGACGGCCAAAGATCCAACAAGCGTGAAATTATTTGCAGAAGACGCAGAACGAGAAGAGGCAAGAGTCTTTCCTTGGAGGTGGGGAGGGGTGACCCGCTTCCAGCATTGTATCGATTAGTATTAGTGTATCGGTATTACCGTAAGCAGGGTCTGACGGCGACTGAATCGGCAGCCGTTTGTAGGCCGGGTCCGGCGCTATGTATTTAATACTGGTATCTCCGCGGTATCGAATGCGAATACGTTGTTTGATATACATCATCAACTCAACAGCCCGTAGTCAGTAAGTTAGGTACCGTCAATCAATTCTAGAACTTAATAATGGTGGTTATAGTAGATATATTTATCACCACGACTGAAAAGTACTCTTCAATGTTCATAAATAACCACTTGTGTCAGTCTACTACGAAGTATGACGATGGTATTTTACTCCGCTACAACCGACTGCATCCGCGCCAGGCTCCAAGTTTACGAGGAAATACATGAACCACGATGGATGATTTGGCGGGATAGTTCGGCAACGGGATGGATTGATCAGCACTAATTTATATCTACTATCCAATTCCAATCAATACGCCATGCAAAAAGTCGTGGACTGCCGGTTTGCCGACTGCTCAGACCTGATTGATTGATTAAGGCAGTCCGGCCGTCATGCGACCGGCGTTATCTATGTGTCTTCTCTTAAATATGCGAGTTGCTTCATATCAGATTCAATGTGACTGTATCTGGCATGGAACGATTGGAACATGATCCACAAATCTGTTTGTCAGACGACGACAGTGGCGTACACTGTAAAGTCAATGTCAGATTAAAATACAATAAAAATACGCATCCCACCCAACAATACGTAATTTAACGTACAAGATCCTCGGGTTGTCGCGGCTGTTGCACGTGCCGCCCGGCTGCCAGATTCTCCAGGCTCCAATTCACGTCTCTCGGTCGAGACTGAAGATTGACTAATCTCAATACGGAAGATCTATAATCAGATACAATGCCACTTCATGATCTATCTCTTATACCAGGAAAGTTGAATGGTAACAGCCACTCACCTCATGATAGAAAACCAGTCTGTCACCACGCGGCGATGTGTTTCGCACAAGCTCGCAACTTCGCAAGGCTCCCGCAAAGTAGCAGAATAGCTTCTGATCTTGATAGTATCCAGAATCACCACACGACGTTCGGACGAAACGCCCATCAAATCAGGCCACCAGCTGTGTGGTAGTGTTCTCGACATTACGGTCATTGTGACTGCGAGCTAGACCCACTCAGACACTGAACACTGGATGGAGCAGTATGGCCTATTCTTGCGGGGAATAGTTAGCGCATGAGCCAGTGTCGCCGTCATTTCTACCCATAGCCGGCGCAAAGGACCTTGTCGAGACAAACAATTCGCCTCAAGGTAACTGCCAATGTTGTCAAAAGGAATGTTCGACTGACGGCCTGAGTCTGTCTGCCAACGTCGTGCTTACGGACTGGAAAAAGAGCGCTACCAGACGCGCTTTTATCAAATATGGATATGTCGCAGGGCCCATAATGGGTCATTGGATCTGTGATTCATGTCGCTCTATTGCTGTCTAGTCGACATGGCCATAATCGGGCATTTGTACATTTGCTAACTCCGTACTAGGAGGTGGAGAGATAAGTAGTGTCAATTTTGGCTCGGTGAAGTATTCTCCACCGCCAGTGAATCAGCCTTCTTAGGGCTTGACTGATCGCTTGCTGGGACCCTGATCTATCTGTACGAATACATTCGTACCGCATGCCAGGTACTGATGTCGTTCTAGGTGTCCTGCATTAGATTGTAGTTGATACACGCTGCTATCGATTGATCTGGAAGCTAAGATAACAGAGGACCACATGCATCGGGATGTGGTCAAGACTGCGGAAAGTTCAGTACTTCTCTTGGACGAATAAAAACATGAGAACTCGAATAGTATATATGGTGTGATGCCTGGAAAAGCTCAAGGAAAACACCATATATTGGACCTGGAGATTTGGACTAGACCCGTCACAGTCCTTTATGATTATTTCTGAAGTTGCGAAGCCGAACCATCCCTCTTCAGTCCCTTTCCCCAAGTTGGATAGACAATGTTGAATAAGACATCTTTCAGCTCCTGCAATGCCTCACTTGGTAGTTGATAACCCAACAGTTCTTCTACATCATCATATGCAGCGTACCTTGTAAGCATTTCTATTTTCTGATCGTCTGTCCAAAACGGGCTCGTCCACTCCTTATAGGTCTGAGCCAGTCGAAACATGACTGTGGTTAGTCTGGCCCTCTCTTGGAGTTTATCAATGCCTGGGGGTTCAGTTAGTGAGAAGTCAGGTACTACTGGCTGGCTCTATCTTACCGCAGTCGCAAATACTTCCTAGACAAAGTCGGACAGTTAACATGTGGGCCTGGCTTGCTAGAACCTTATAACTTACCAGCTGATCCAAAGGCAAAAGAGGTTATTTCCCAGAGCTTCTTTGCACTCGCTTCATCCATGGTAATGTTGGCGGACATATCAAGATCTGGATATTTCAGGAGATGTACATGTTGCACCACGGAGAAATGCATCAGTCGGCCTAGATCTTCTGTGCGAATAATATGACTTGCTAAAAAGGATAAGCCACCTTGATCAAGGGAAAGGAGAGCAGCCTACCTTTGACAATGATATCCTCCGGTCCGTCCCCATACTCCTGATCTAGTTCGGTCTGTAAGCTAGCAGGGCCCTTCAAGCTCATTAGCCGGATTTGCTTCAGATAGAGCCACAGGCGTCGTGGTGGAACGAGTTGACAGAAATGATCTCTTAATTTTTCACGAATATCTTGCCGCTTGATTTCTCTGAGCCCCTGAGTACAGACATCAATCTGGATTCTCAAGTTAATCATTCTACGAGTCTGGTCCAGGTCCTTAGCTAATGTTTCCGCATTGCCGCCTGTAAAGTCCTGTCAGAAACGTCCGCACGTCATTTGAAGGAAGCTCACCTAGCTTCATGTACAATTGCATGAATTCAGTCGGTTGTTCCGGCAGGTTTTTGGTAAGCATATCACCCATAAACTCAAAGATCACGTCGTCAGTCAGCTCCGCACTACGAAGCTGGTAAACCAGCTTCTTATTGGATCCCAACTTCCTCAAGATCTTCTCGAGTTTCAATAAATACGATAACTGAACATCATTTGTTTCACCGCCAACCTTTTTGAACCCTTGACTCGGTGGTAATGTAAGATAATATTCAAGTGTTGCTTTGAGAGCAGGGCGTGAGGTGAACGCCACGGTTTGGTAACGATATGCGTTGTCCAAAAAGATCGTATTGATCTTGTTGGTTTGCTCTGTAGATATTTTGAAGAACGGAAAGCAAAATCGGTGGTTCGAACGCCGGGAACCATCCTCGCCTTCCAGCAACTCTATTCCCTGGGAACTTACGGACGAGTACGAGTTCCGTGGCTTATGGATGGGAAGATCTGCGAGGATGGAGTTTGCAGCCCTTGGGTTGGCATGTGGCCCTAGAGCCATTTTGTAAATGTTCTCCCTCCATTTTCTGATTCCCTCATTCTTGTCTTCTTCGGGGTTTGGTAGGATAAAGCTTCGGAGGACCATCAGAAGCTTTGGAGATATTGGACTGAATTCATGGAAATTCGTCCACGACACGAATCTGCTTTGTCCAGTTTTGGGGTCTCTCAAGATGGTCTGCGGCCCTTCAAAGACATTGTAGCAGTTTTCGGTCAGAAGAAATTCTGTATCCGCTTCGGAAGGTGTGCAGAGAGAGAGATACATAAATTCCGTGTGCATAATGAACCACATAGCATCGTCTCGGTAGATGCCGTCGAGCAGTTTCTTCACCCAGTTCCCCTGAAGGTCCATCTTCAACTCCAGAATCGTCTTTATACTGTGATACCACACGTCAACCGGCTTTTTGAACCCTTTCTCGCGCATATACTTGAGGAACAGCTCCTTGTCATCTTCGACATAGCCTTTCATACCGTCTCCGACAAAACGCTTGTGAAAGCCCTTCCCCCGATATTTCATGATGAACAGAAACTTCCGTAAGCTGTCTCTTTCATGGCGCTTTATCCACACGTCCTGATGCCCAGACTCAAAGGCCTTGCGTATCCCGACAATTATCCTAGCGGCATTGCCTTCTAGCTTGCTAAGTTCCTTTTCAAGGTATTGCTGGTCGGACACACGCGCAAAATCCCGATACATGTCTGTCAATCCAAAAGTTCGGCGAACTGGAGACTCGACCAGCTCTGGGTTGTCACTGGAAAGATCTATTACGTGGAGCGCTTCCCCACTGGAATGCCACTTTCCGCGACCTCTCCTCTTGGGGGAGCGAACATGTGCATAATTTCGCAGGATGAATTGTGGAATGAAATGGTGATATTGGGACTTCACTGATGATGACGAAGATTGCGGCGCTGCCATGATAGAGGTAAATTTCAGGAAGAGATGCCTCTGCCAGTTTAGTATTAAGGATTGCAAAACCACAAACCGAGGTGAAATGGCTCAAATCAATATCGTAACAGAAGCTATTCTCTTCCAGACTGTGGATTTGACTGCTTGATAGCATTGAGAATCCTACACTGGCAATGCACCCCATGGGCTGCTAGCGGGGTTAGCCTTGCGCAGTATCGCACACCCCTGTCATATTGAGGGGTCTTCAAAGAGCCATCATCATAGGGACAGTCCTCCAGCCAATGACGCTGCAGCACGTCACGCATCAAGCAGATATCTCTTGGGACATGTTATATGGATAACCTATCGATACTGAACGTTCTAGCCTTATATTTGACAGGATAAGGCTGCGACGGTGATGGATGAACTTAGGGCTATGTTAGCCGGGTTTCCAGATTTGGAAACCACGTGATATTGCATGAAGAAGGAAGAAAGACCACCACACTCTCATTTGTTGCCTCCAAGAGTCTATAGCTATCATTCAAGCCAGAAAGTTTCTAACTTGGAAGTATTCTATCATCGCGGTAGAATGTCACTAATCCCGCCTCAACTTGACCGACCTCCATTCTATCAGCAAACTCCCAATCATCGTCGCACACGCCAACCCAATTACCAAATACCATGTCTGAACAAGACTTTTATCAATCCGAACCAGGACTTCTGCAGACCTTTCCGGCTGCAGACTGGAAACAATTTGCGTCAAGCCCATATTCTCAATACTCGCACCACTCACACCCGGCACGAGACCATCCAAATTCGTCGAGAGCTGATTCACAAACAGTACCTGCGCAACAGCGACTGCTACAGATGGGCCAAAGGACTGCGAGAATAACATAATAGACGTTCCGAGTGGAACATCCTCTGCATCTAACACCGTCTGCACTGCGTTCTGTGGCCCCGAGAACCCGATACCGTATGCCAAACCAGAAAAAGCAGTATATATGATCAACTGCGCAAAACTAGTACTAATTTTGAACGTAGTTATAAGCCCCGCGGCAATGGGCATTGTGATCGACGCAAAGAGCATGAATGGCGCATAGTATCCCAAGACACTTGTCCCGAAGCCATGGACGAGTGCGCCGATAGTGGCTGCAATGATGATGGGGAGCATCATATATCCACTTTTTGCAGGGGAATATCCACGAACGACTTGATAGTAAATGGGTAGATAATATTCTAGTACATTACCTGCACTGTTACCACACATAATGAATATACACCCTGCGATAACGCTGCGGCGTCTCAGAATCCGTATTGGGAGAGCAGCGGCATCCCCGCGACGGATTTGATTGTAGATAAAGCCTGTTATGAGTATGGCAAAGCCTACAAGGGGGCCTATCACAGGTGCACTGCTCCAGGGATACTTGGTACCAGCCCATGAGAATGCGAGAAAAAGACCTGTCAGCGCTGGGATGAAGAGTAGATTACTGACCAAGTCGAGTTGTGCGATCTTCTGCTTGAGTGTCATGCGCGTGATATCGTTAGATTTAGGTGCATCGAAAAAGTAGTACATGGTCAACAACAACGTTACAACGCCGATAGGCACGTTGATGTAGAAACACCATCGCCAACCGAGTGACTGCACAATAACACCACTGAGGAGCGGTGCGGATAGCGTAGCTACCCCTTCGACAGCACCCATTATGCCCGTGAACATGGGCCGTGCACGTAGAGGCGTAGACTGCACGAGGATGACAAAACATCCTGAAAGAAGACCAGAAGAGCCCAAACCAGTCACAGCCCTCCCAATAATAAGCGTAGACGACGTAGCTGCCGCTCCGCAGAGCACCGAGCCTACCATAGAGATAACATTGGCGAGTAGGAACACACACTTGATAGAGAAGAGCTTATACGCTCTACCAAACATGAACTGAAAAGCGCACTGGCAGAGCCTGAACGCGGATGAATACCAGCCCACATCCGCGACAGTGTGGAAATGATCTGTAATGCTGGGTACGGCCGTAGCGACAATATTCATGTCTATGCTGATGAGGATAAGGACTGCGGCGAGGTTAAGCATCAGGAGCCATAATTTTGCGCCGGTTGGATAACTGGTTTCCCTGGTTATGCGGGCTGGGTCGGATATCTCGTCGAAGGTGGTTTCCGGTCTGCTTGTTGAATGTTCATTTCGATTTCTATGCACATCTGCTGTGGTCGTGCTCATGGCTTATAGTAGTAATTTATCGCTTCTGCCGGTGATAGTTTCGCAGGTGAAAAGAAGACTACAGGCGAACTCCGGATATTCAACACGTTAGCGCTTACTTTTTTTTCGGCTAAATGACCAGTAATGGCGCCAATGGCAGGGGTACTGCCAACCATTTAAAAGGTTCGTTCTGATCATCAGCATGTGGAATGATATCATTGAGCAATCCCAAAGTAATGATAAGCAACTATCTATCCACCTATTTACTCGTATGAATACTCTTCTAAGCATCATATATGAATCCACGTGATACGGGTGTCAAGCAATAACAGTCTATGAGCTCGGTTTATCAAGCGTGCTGATATCAGCGGGTGGTTGCAGTGTCTGGCTGGATGATGCCTGCGCCATCGACAGGGGAGAGACAGAGTTTGATGGCGGAGCTGTTGTCAACCCTTTCCGAATGGCGAGGACGGAATCGACGATTACAGCATCGATGCCATGTGTAACTTGGAGCTATTAAAAGTGTTAGTCGCGATGTATTCTGGACCTTAAAAGGCTGTAGTTATGCTTCTGAGCGTAAAACATACCTTGGCATTTGCAGGGTCATTGTTCTGTATTCCGTACGAAACACAGACAAGTCCTGATTCCTTGACGACGCGTACAAGTCGTGGGCAAAGTACGAATGGTTCTGCGGTAGAGACAATACCCAATAGATTCCAGCGGGATGCGAAGCGAATGGCCTCTTGAAGGCTGCTGCAACGAATATCTGCAACTTCACTGCTACCGGCATCGGTCAAGAAGAGAACTGGAATAGAAGGCTGCTTGAAGGCCAGGAGCAGACAGATGTCGGGATTGAAGCTGGAGAAAATCATATTGCGGCCTTCGCCCAAGTCGTAGACTTTCTCGAGGACAGTGTCCACAAAGGAGTTGACCTCCACTGCGTAGGTGTCCATTTCTTCTGCTTCACTTTCGTAGAGTGAAGGATACTCTGTCGAGACGGTTAGATCATATTTGCATATTAGAAGAGAGCAGGAAGAGCTCACTCATCTCGATGTTGAACCCAACAGACTTAGGAAGCTTTTTGAATAGCTCCTCCAAAGTAGCAAACGGCGCTTGGATGTGGTTACCGCGAGTATTACCCTTGAAACCCTTGGCTTTGAAATCACGAGTGTGTTTCATCTTTTCACTCAGGGCTGATGGATCAATAAGTGCTTCACCAACGGACATCGCACGTGGACGTTGCGATGCGTCTGCACTCACGGCTTCTACTCGTGGTGATCGTGCATCGTTGAGATGAAGGAACTTCAACATGTTAGTTAACATGGCAAAATAGCGACTCAAGACCAAACCTACTTGTTCCAAGGTAAGAGTGTGGACGGGAGCATCAATTCCTGTCTCGCTGACAAGGAAGTCATGATAAATGACGGGGACGTGATCTTTGGTGAGTTGTACGTCTTCGAAGTCTTATTAGTATAGTGCCAAGGTAATATGTGAAAGATTGAGCTTACCGAACTGCATGAGAGTCAGTAAGTAACCATTGTCAACAGTAGCTTTATGATGGAACGCAAACTTACCTCGACATATGAAGCACCCAAGTTCGCAGCAGCGATAAATGACTAAAAGCGGGTTAGTCCAGATGCGAAGCAGATTAGTAACTCATATTCCTACCTGAACAGTATTCTCACCCAATTGAAGTGATCTCCGGCTCGCAAAGTTCTTACCGAGACCTGTTCCTCAGATTAGAACTCATTCACATGCATATAAATCAGACAAGCTTACCTCGGTGACCAATAACCATAGGCGCAGTAACTGTCTTCCAGTACGTTTGATCATGATTGAGAGACATCTTCGGATGCTTGAAAGGAGTGATGACAAGGAAATTGAAAGTCAAAGTCCCAATTACTTCAAGAGTATTGGCAGCTATTATGGGCACCGTTATATCACCTTGCAGACTAATGCGGTTGGAGCCAACAGATGGTCGGATGCTGGAAAGCAATGCTACACCTCGTCCCACGATCTGATTCGTGGAGCCTGCATAAGTAGGGACCAGGTCGAACAGGAGCCTCACGCTAGTGAAATCCTTTGAATAGAAAGTGATCGGCTCGGTGACGATGCTGTCCTGAACTGGGAGATCGATGATCTCTGGTTCCCCGTGGGCACCGCTTGCAGATATGACGACAGAAAGCGCAGTGTCGAGTTGCGTGGAATGAGCGCTGGTAATAGGTATGCGATCGAGACTCACAGGGGGAGAAGTTTTCCGCATATCCATGGTTCCTAGACTGACTAGAATCATGCTTTCATCTGTGAGATACCTGTGTCCGAACGTTTTGAGGGACTCAGCTGCGCGGGAGCTATAATTTGGAGAAGGACTATTGATATTAGATTTGCGATCGGTCAATGATCCCAAAGGAGGCGATGACGTGGGTGCCGGAACAGTTATGGAAACATCGGCCTCCTCAAGAGTAGGAGGCTTGGTGACTTCAGCTAATCGCTTAGCAATTTCAAGGTGACCTCGAAGCGCTGCATGTTCCTTTGCAGTCCATCCTGACGAGTCGGGCCTTTCCAAATCGGCCCCTGCCTTGATGAGAAGTTCCACGACAGCCAACGAGCCATCCACGCATGCAATGAACAGGGGTGTCCACGAATAAGTAGATTCTGGTAGTTCCGTATTTGCTTTTTGGTCTGCTGTTCCCTCTAGAAGCAGCCTTGCACATTGACTATGATTGAACCGAGCAGCAACATGTAGAGCTGTTTCACCTTGTTCGTCTTGATAATTGATGTCAACGCCTGCTTCCACGAGCAATTGAACAATATCAACAAAGTTTGCCTTGACCGCCATTGCTAATACGGCACTGGATTTCGAAATATTCTTTCTGATAGAGTTTCTTACTCCACCATGAGGTGCTGTCAGAGATTTCTCCTCGGCTTCTAGGAGAGCCTTGGTTGTCAATGGATGTCCACCGACAACACTGAGATGTAGAGGAGCCCAGCCTTCCGAGTCCTGCCAGTTGGGACCGTCTATTCCTTCGGACACATCGAACAAATCCCATTTTTTAAGGTGTTCAATGATAATTTCGCACACAACTCTGAACCCGTACTGAGCACCATAGTGAAGTGGAGTTCTGCCGGAGAGATCTTGGGCCAGAAGGGCAGACCGTTGATGAGGACGTAGATGATCCAACAGATATTGCAATAGTGAGACTGCCTCGTCATCTCTAGTCAAAAGCTGCTTTTGATGAGCTTCTTTCACAACGTTTCGCGGAGGCTGTAAGCTCGGTGGAGTCGCAGGCGTAATATAGGTGGTTTCCTCTGGATATTCCAACGAGACGGCTGCAGAAGGATCAGCATCCGAGGTAGTCTGAGCCCTGCCGATAGAAATCACAAGTCGATGAATGCAATTCCGCTTGTTGATGTCATCCTCTTCTTCTAAAGAATCTACTTCGCCTAGCAAGACGTCAATGGAAGACCTCGCCCGACAAGTTATTGCGCGTTGCAAGAGATTCTTCTTAACCATAGGGTATACAAGCTCCCCTTGCTCGGTAGCAGAGACTTTCAAGCTTTGGAGTTGCTCTAGCAAAGCCGTAGTGTCGTCCTCTCGAAGCGCCGCGTCAACGGCTGAGAGTAGACTAGCGGGTAAATTCAGATTTGGTCGGGAGGGAACTTTGGATAAAGTCAAAGACTTGACGGAGTCGGAATCATCCGAAAGAACCTTTCGGTCTCCAAACACGGACAGCCATTCATTGATTTTGGAGGTTGCTTGAGTGAGTTGTGCATTGGTTGCGAAGGGCGCAGGATCGACCTTCGCCGCGAGATATCGCTTCTGTGCTTCGGCCCCAGGGATCTTCTTGTCCAGCTTCTTGGTGATTTTGATAAAGCCACGGCGATTAACCTCACCGTACCATTGCAGCTTGCGAAGCTGTCCTCGAAGCTCCAAAAGAGCAGTGACAAGGTCTCCAATGTCTTCTGCACCAAGAGCTTGTCCGGCAGCCACGGAATTTCCATAACGATCCTCCAATATTTTAAGACGTCGTGTGAAGTCGCCCAGCTTCTTGTTGTAAAAGTAATCTACATCCTCGAGATTTCGATCGAGCGAGTAGAAAAAGCCTAGAAAACAGAAACAGTTAGCACACCGAGTAACGACACTCAAGGAAACAAAAACACACCAACGAGGTCAACATCATCCTTTGCTTCTTGGCTAACAGAAGCAGATTTGATGAGCTTTTTCAAAGCTTTGTAGTTGATATAGTTGGAGCTCCACTCCGGGACAACGTTTCGGGGAAGATTGCGACCGAACTTCATATTGCACACAAAAGCTTCACTTTGGACCTTGTTGTTCTCGACGGCCTTTTAATTCTTTCGTCCACAGCACAAACCGAACTGACCGCCGAAATAAAAACAATCACGAGATCGAATCGAAATCGTATGCGCCGCTGGGGGGGGGTGAAGCTCTCGAATTAGGGCTTTATCTGCGGATGGAAGCGGGGCCTGGCGCAAGAGACACGAAAAAAGCTTCAGGGGCTTTTTTAAAAGATCGAAAACCCAAAGCAAACAACACAAAGGAAAAGTGATGAATTGTTTGAAGGATACAGACGATCCATTTGAGCTAAATGACCTGCATTTTCCTCTGTGCGATTTGTTGTTGATGGGGAAGTTGAAGAAAAATTTGACGGAGAAAAGAGTTGTCAAATAGACTTTTGGGGAAATGCGGTAAACCGATCACTGTTCGAGAGATGACAGTCTGAGTCAAAGAATCAGTAATCAATCACGTGGCCTTTCTAATCAAAGCTGAGAACTGTGAAGCTCAGGAAGGAATCAGAAGGATAGCTTTGGACACTAAAAATAGGTGCAGCAAGATAGGAATGGTCAATCAATAGCTCAAGCCATGCTTACCTGTTGTTGGAGCTGGCGTCACCACAGGTAAGCAGTGCACGGTACAGACTCCAGAGGAAAAGATTTGAAAAGGTAAAAAGGAGATCTCGTGACCTCGACAACAATTGGCACTGATTGTATTGTATGAGTATGTGAGCGGTGAGTTGTGTGAAGGATGCGACGGATTCCCAGGGAAATGGGTGTGGGTGATAGTTAAGGAGTAGAAGAACGGAGTGGTAGAAAGAAAGAAAACTATATGGCTCGAACGAAACCGTGGTACGTAATCAATCTTTTACAATAGAGGCAGCCATTGCGGCTTGATTGATGGCCATCAGAAAAAGGGCTCCAGAATAAAGATGACGATTCAATCCTGATAGAGAACAAAATGGAGATAAGATGAAGCTGATGGGTATCAGGGCAGGCGTGCCCCACCAATAGGGGAGGTCCAGACTGAGTGTATTACGAATACAGTAATATTCATACACATTGCTGTTATCATACGTATATTTGGTAATTAATTACAAGAAATGGTAATCCGCCGGGATGAAAGCCAGAAGCCAATGACGATGCCTTGTCCATCACATGCTTCGAGCAACAGATACCTGAGGCCAACGTTGAGATATCATCCTTGCTTTGAGCTTTTCTGTTCTACATGGAAAGGCACGTGTTGCAAATGGTGAATGCTAGTAGTCCAGTCCATCTGATCCTAACAAATAAGAGTATTACCATCTAGAGAGTCGAGCTGTTCTGACTTTGCCAGACTTGATAACACAAGGGTTTAAGGTAGAATACGGAGCAAATGATGTCTCGCGATTACAGCATAACTACTGGTATATACTATGCATGTATGTCAATCATTAATTCATTTATCGTTCTATGAAACTGCCGTCGGTGCTCATTTATAAGCTGACTGTCCGTAGTAAAAGAGCCGTCGAAACATATCTAGGAGTACAAATGCACAATCATCTCACAGCTCCATCATGTAAAGAAAACACCCATGCCGTTAATCGAACACAAACCATAACGCCCCGTCGTAAGGTTCTAGAGAACAGGAATAAAAAGGAACTCGAAGACCGGAAAGAAGAAAAATCAATACCACAGCAAGAAAGTAATGTGTAACGAAAGAAACCGCCGTCTAGGCTTGACTCTGCTCCACCAACGGTTTCAACGCTTCGACACCAGCCTGCAAGATTGCTGGGTTGGATGAACGCTGTAGACAGCTCTTGAGGATATCGACGCCATTCCCTTGCTTGACAGCATCCAGAGCACGCTTCCCAATGTCACCGGATGGAATACAGGTAAGATTGCGAACCGAGACTATGCCTCGATGGACAAGATCATCATTGTTTTCCTGACAGAGACCTAGCAAGAGGTTCACACCACGTGGCCGCTCCAACACGGCAGAGATTGCAGCGTCATATTCTGTCAGCATTGCCAGAGCACCCCCAGCTGCCCGCCGAGTCGCGACATCGTCAACGTCTGTTAAAGCAAGCAGCACATGGAGACGCTGTCCCGCACGTTTCGAGCCGTCTGCGAACTTGACAATACCGGGTTCGCAGGTCATCAGATTACAGATGAGCTCACACGCCGCTCGCTGGATGAAGGTGTTGTTTGACAGTAGCAAGTCTTCCACTGTGTCCCATGCTTGCCGCACAATAGTCTCGGACGCTGTGCTGTCCGGAGATGAAGCCAGATTTGTGAGAGCCAATAGAGACTCGAATACTGGAAGAAGATTCCGTGGTTGGTCTACGGAAAATGAAGCTTCTGGTGGCTTGAGAAGAGCGACCAATGGTCGGATGGCAGATGTGACTTGCGGAAAGCCTGAATAGGGGAAGACGTGAGACGGATTAACTGATATCAAAATGCGAGCTAGCGCAAGTGATGCGTTGTGTGTGGTTTCATTGAATGTGGGAACAGGACTACCCGTTTTTGGGCCCAAAATGTAAAGCAGCAGCTTGACCGCACCTTGTTGAGCTAGCTTGCCTCGTGTTTTGGAATTCTTTGACAAAGATACGAGTATCTTGCTAGTGAGATCATGGATAGATTTCAAATTCGACTTCCCGCAGTCCGCAAGGAGAGGCATAATGTTAGCGTCAATGAGCGCAGTGCAGCGTTTCGTCACGTGAAGATCATCTTCGAGCTCATTAGGTGTCGAGGAAGTCTTGGAAGCCTCTGCGTACGCTTTCAACTCTGAGATCTTCTTTTGCTCCTCGGACAAACTGGGTAAATACCGCGTGATGTTGGCAATGATCATGAGGCCTCCATACAACAGAGTTGTGTCCTCCAAGTTTGCGTGTAGTACGTCAAAGAGACCTTTCAGAAAGACAGGATCATATGCCAGCTGCTCTTTGACATCGGGTTTCACCGACGCGAATGCCAAACCCTCGATAGGATTGTGAACATTGGTGACTTTGTGGTCCGACATTTGTCCCTTGAAGCGATTGACTAAATCCTGAATACTATGATTGTTGTCCCCTTGAGTTTTATCGTTCGATTCTGGGCTTCCCTTTTCGGATGTTCTCACTTTCGCTAGGACTACAGCAGCCAATTCCGAGCTTGCATCGCTCCCGTTGGAGAGAATATGAGAAAGCCATTCACCACAGTTCTTGCTAATTGCTTCACGGCATAGTCTATCCATACAAGCAGCGTTGAACAGCTCCAGAAGGGCCAATTCAACCTTTGGTGACTTGGCTTCTCGGTGAAGAAGGGGTACAATGGACGGTAGGAAACCCTCGGTCAGGAAAAGCGACGACGTGAGCGCTGGAACAACGGGGAACACAGCAGCAGCGGCAGAAAATGCGACAATCAAATCGTCGTTTCGAGCTTTCGCCACTTTTGCTGTTATCAGGTCAGAGAAGCGCTTCTGGCCGACTTCTTTGGAAGCTTCCAGGTATTTTGCGGTTGCCACGGTAGCTTGACCTCTAACTTCGAGGGGCAGCCTGTAATCCAGTGATGACAAGATGACATCGAAACCTTCATCATCTATAAGATGTTGCAACTTCTCGGCGTCGACAGCCAACAGCCTGGTGATTCCTTTCAAAGACCGTGCATCCTGATCATGGCCAGATTCCATCAATTTCGCAATGAAAAGTTGGAACAGCTCACTCTCGCAGTGCAAGCGAATGTCTTCTGAGGGCCATAGAGTTGGGTCGAGCACCACTGTATCCAGACACACCACAGCATTGTCGCCCCTATCGTAGATTTCATCGAAGAAAGTCGTCACCGAGACCTGGAGTCGCGAGGAGAAAAGTCGCCGAACGCTGACAGTTTGTCGAACTAAGCCGGAGATGATTTCATCTTGAGTGGCAGAAAGTGATCCTGCATCCTTGGCTAGGATAAGATTGAGGCATTCCAAGGAGATGTCTCCGGGAGGATTTGCCCCGTCTGCATGTAAATACCTCGCAGCGTCTTTCCCAGCATCTTCATTTTTTCCAGTCACGTATTGTCGACATAGAACCAAGAGAGGGTGACCACTCTCCTCCTCGCCGCGTATTTTGAGGAAAGCTGCTTTTACTTCATGGTTTTCTGGCGCGAGGGAAAGGGCTTCACGTAGGTTTCTCGATGCGGCCTGGAAGATATTGCGAGTTAATACCGCGTTCAACTTCATTCAAGTAGATAGCCGATGTATTTTGTGACATACGCACCTCTTTGTGCCCAGCATCGATCAACTCGACAGCTTCACGGGATAATTTTACGGCGCGATCTTCGATCTTTGAGTCCACCATTTCAGACACGACCGTCGAGCCGCAAGAGTAGTTTCCGGTTGATTCTGTAATGGTCACCTCCTCCTGAGGGCGTCAAGCACCAAAGCTGGTGAATATCAAGAAGAGAAATTAATCAGTAGCGTGGTCAGTGAAGAAATATTTCGAGAAATCAGGTGCCGCGGAAGGTGCGGCCAAATAGGCAAGTGGGTTTCCGTAACGGTTTGGTCACAGCGGACTTATGACCTAGAAAGAGCTGAGCAATGATGGGAATTAGAGTAGTCGGAAAAGATGGCTGTAGATAATGCAAGCAGTCACGACATGGTGTTACTCGATGCGAGACGAATTGGTGTAGTCATGAACTGTGGCCAGGATGTTGATGACACTTAAGGGCTTGGGCGGAGGGTAGCGCCAGCAAAAGAAATAAATATTTTAGATGCGTATCATTGATTGGTAATGTAATATAGTGTACATCAATACAGAGCCGGCCAATAAGGATCTATGTAACAGGCACCCCACTGGTATCTGGCTGTTTCGCAAAACAGGGCACATTACTAGCGGTAATCATGTCGTTATCTCGCTGTGCCCCTCCTTATCGGATCATCGGACGCCGAAGACTACTTCTCTTCTTGGCCTTTCCCTCTTCAACGCAATTCCACCAGTCACAGACATACCTATAGACGAGGCAGCTCAAATAGATGGTTGGGGGCGTTGAGGCACTGCCTGTACGTCGTGGTGGGTGGTATGAATAAGAATGTCGAATACTCCGTGCTCAAAGGTCGAATCTGAGCGAGCCGCTCTGACACGTTCCTCCGCCCGTTTCTCAGTCCTTACTGAATTAAGACGGATAATCACCGGTGATTACACATCAAGATAGAACAGTCAATAATTGACATTCGTATATGAAGGCTGAGTTACACCTCAGGGCAATGTGAAAAGCTGGTACACATGTAGTGACATTGCAGTTATGCAGCACAGCAGGCGGAGCTATACAAATCAGGCTAAAACGATTGTACCAGCCAAGGTCCGCCAAGACTCGCTGCAGTCACATGACCTGCCAAGCTGTAGGGCGCGTTCCTCGACGTTGCACCGGCAGAAATGGTTTCAGTTATTAAAATGTTGAAGATCAATCTGGGCAAGTCTCAAGTTTGAGCCTTCGTCACCGAATAAAGCAACGAAAGGCCAGGGGTACGTAGCATGATTACGAGGCCTACACCAAATGTTGTAGAAATAGCACTAACTATATCCAGAAAGCGGTCAGACTAGCGTGACTAGTCAATATTGAGCGATGCAGATCTGCGACTTCCAATTTGCTCATTCAAGCTTCAGCTTTGCTTTGCTTTGCCTCAATCAAAGCATACAAATTTTATTCCCATCTCTTGGGAGCACAACGTAGACAGTGCCGGTGCTGGTTCATCCGAACCTTCATCTTTCTGTTCATGATGCGCTCTATCCTTGTCACACTTGCCATCCGTTTACGATGAACGCCGTGGATGCTTCGGAGCATTATGAGAGTGTTGCTACTGGTGAGTAGCCTATACAACACATAGCATCGAGGTTTCAGTTGGCAATCTTCGTTACTCATGATTTGCACTTGCTACAGAACCAGCGCCTTCGCTCCTTGCAATCGTTCTCGATGTCAATCCCCATGCTTGGGCATTGCTTGAAGACCAGTTACCTTTCTCCAAGGCACTGGCCAATTTATTAGTGTTTATAAATGCACACCTCGCGTTCAACTACACAAATGAAGTCGCTGTGGTTGCATCTCATAGCCAGCGTGCGGCGTGGCTATACCCTACACATAGCCAACAACAAAAGACCTCGACGAATCGACAGGATGCCGATGGAGATATTGAAATGAATGGACAGGAGGCGCACAATATCCATTCTTCGCGTACTTCCACCCAAAATAACATGTATCGTCCGTTTCGAGTGGTCGAGGAACAAGTGCTGGAGAATGTCAGAGAACTTTTGGCTTCGACGGATGCGTCTGATGTGAGCGCCACTTCGACCATGCTAGCTGGTGCCTTGACACTGGCGCTCAGCCATATCAACCGGCGAACTATGACCTGGACAGAAACACACGGTAACAGTAGCGTTGATACTGCTAATGCGGCCACGGGTTCATCATCGGCGGCAGCTGTATCAGGCGGTAATGTCAGTCTGGGACTCCAAAGTCGGATTTTGATTGTTTCCGTCAGCAGTTCTACGGATTCTGCGCATCAATACATCCCAATTATGAATAGCATCTTTGCGTGTCAACGACTACATATCCCTATTGATGTTTGCAAGCTGAGCGGCGATGCCGTCTTCTTACAACAAGCATCAGACGCTACACGAGGAGTCTACATGTCTCTGACCGAGCCTCGAGGCCTCCTACAGTACCTCATGATGGCATTCCTCCCCGATCAGCGATCTCGAAAGCACCTTGTCCTACCTTCACGAGTCGATGTTGATTTCCGAGCGGCTTGTTTCTGTCATCGCCGCGTGGTTAATATCGGCTTCGTATGTTCGATATGTCTTAGCATTTTTTGCGAACCGCCAGAGAATGGCGACTGTTTGACCTGCGGCACACATTTAGAGATTGGAGATTATGGCGCAAGACCGGCAGTACTGGGAAAGAAAAAGAAGAAAAAGAAAGCACGCTTGAATGGGTCGTCAGCAACCGCAACGCCAACACCGACAGCCACTCCTGGCTGAATGCATTTTATCTAATTGGGAAAGGGTAAACATTTAGGATTATATATATGTGAACCAAACAAAATAATAGAAGCTACTCATGTGATGAAACTCGTGGTCAGTTGATCAGGCTATTCATACTTTAAACGTATCCTATGAGATTTCATACTCTTATTTTCCTTCTTTTTAAAGGATCCGAAGCAAAGCGAGGTGGGGTTCTTAAGCTTTTGATAAGTTTCAGGCTGTCAGATGTCAAATCTGAGATAAATAAATAGCGGCGGGGTAACCTCTCTTCTTTAGATAACACCCTTTAACATCTTCGTCAGTCAAGACTCTTGCAAAACAGACTACTTCTCCCACAAAGTATACATCCGTTTGTCATATTTCACATATTCGACTAATCAGTTATACTCACAGACAATCGTCATTTCCTCACTTCCAACGAGAACAATGTCTCACCCATCCTGCCCCAAGTGCGGTGCCTCCGTCAATGGAGAAAACAAGAGCTGCGGCTCTTGCGGTGCTGTACGTTTCTATCACCTCTACTTCGCTTAAGGGAAGTGGTCACTAATGAGCTCGAGTTATATGGATGATAGACTTGCCCTGTCTAAATCGATCATGGTACGCGAGTCTCAACAAGGTGGATTTCCGCTAGATAGTGAGGGGTGGTCGTTATCGATAAGGTTATGCATTCTAGCACATACGGAGATTCAATGAAGAAATTTAAACATTAACAACGCCTCTATCTGAAGAATATAACCGTCTATATAACAAAATTCGCAAATGCTTTAAGGGTCAAATCATATCACGAGGCACCTCTCGCCGTGATGATGATGGTCTCATATCAAGAGATGCCCGACTACTATCGGATAGCGACTGTGGTTTTATCCCTGGACTTTGTTTATTATCGTGTTGCTGTTGTTGTAGGATTTCAATCACATCTGAGCCATGTAGTGAAATGCGGTCGTGCCTATTATTATGATTGTGGTTGTGATGGATGTGATGGTCGTAAGATGACCTCGCTCTTTGGAAGATGTTATGGTGATGATGCGAGTCGTTCATTGAATGATTATGGTAATGCTGTAAAGGATTATGCATCGACAATGCACGTCTGATACCCTCAATAGTAGTAGCACCACCACTACTACCGGTACACTCTGCAGTAGCTGGGGTTTCTTCTTCACTCTCATCTTCATCCTGTCTCGAAAACCGATTGTTCAAAATTGCCGAATGCCGTTGTGGATTCACCGTGCTATTCGTCGGTAACGGTTCATTATTGGACAAAAGTACAATCTCAATGGGATGATCGTCTTGTACTTTTGGGACGTTGCGGAGTTTGTAGATTAGGTGGAGTATGGGGACAGAGAGGCCGTGGACGATAATTGAGAAGAACACGAGCCAGTATACCACTGTTTGTTATTAATATCTCGATGAATACGCAGAGAGATGAGTGCATACCTGGGATCATTGCACTGGTCAAGTTATTGATCTCATCATCACTTTCTCCTGGGTCAGGGAAGAGTTGTCTCGCATATTCAACAGATGATATGGCACCGATTCCTACTGAGGTCAGCTTTCAAAATCTGAATCCATCCGAAGAAAAGGAAATACCAATTGGCCCAAAATACCCCATGAACAATGCTTCCTTCCAATCCCGACAAACCTTCGACATAAATCGATATGAAATCAAAATCGCCGGAATACGTCTAAACGCTAAAACCAAAAACCCCAAGGCAAACAGTCGTCCCGCGGTAAGGCCATGTTCAGCAATTTTAGAGACATTTGTCAAAGAGTCCCATGGCATTATAAGACCGATAAAGATGAAGGCAGCGAAATTTAGAAACCGTTCGAGAATGTTGTTGAATGAGTCGTGACGGAGATGGATTTCGGTTAGGAAGTGGCCGTCCCAGTTTAGGGCATTGCCTGCTGCGAAGCAGGCGAGGGTTTCGTCTGCGCCGAAACAGCCGCAAGTACCGACAATGAATATCTGTTTATTAGTATAGTTTGACGAGAAGAGAGGTGTGGACTCACTCCCATGGCGAGAGGTACAAGCAGATAACTCTCGTTGTCGACCCATTTCCTCTCATACAGTCAGCATAATGCCCTAAAACGCATTTAAAGAGATAAGACAAACCTCTTCACAGTCCAATTCAGAATAGCTCTACACAACGTTCCAACAATAGCACCATACGAAAACCCCAACATCACCATAAACAGTACCCCCTCAATCGCCCAATGCTTCAAAGCCGTATCCAGACCACCTCCATACTTCCCCTGTTCCTCCGCCCCAAGTTGATCCGGTATTCCCTCTGCATGATCCATCTCACTCAAGGAAATAGCATTTGCTCTTGTACCGTCGTATCGTAAAAGTGCGACCGCAAATAAGAGAAAGGGGAACCCAAGTCCGTCGTTCCCACCGGCTTCCGAAGAGATGAATTCGCGCAGGTGTCGTCGGACGTAGTTTTCGGCAAAGGGACCTTTGGCGATGGCTTGAGATAGTAAAGGGTCTGTGCATGTTATGCATGAGCCGATTATGAATGCTGATACCTGCTCGACGTGTCAGTGGTGTCTCCGTCTATTTTTTAGGGGAATTTGATAGCATACCCATGAGATCTTGGGTACAACCAACATGATACACCCTGTTGTGCAGAGCCACATGATAGTCATAACCGGTAAGAGACAAATGGTCATTTCAACTGCACGTTGTTTTTGGTACTGTTTTGGCAATTCATAGCCGACTTTCACTAGTTGGATTGCGATGACGATGCGTGTTAGGTTCTGCTAAGGTCAGTTGTCACTTCTTCGATAGCCAGAGAACGATGGAACATACATATGCAAGTTCGTGAATATCATGATATACCCCATCATGATTCCAATCACCTACATTAACCAGATTTGCGGCGACAGGGCCGATTATTATTCCTAGCAGGAAGGCCGGTACTTTATTGCATTAACTTGGATACAACTTCAACGGAGTAGAAGGGTTTGACACTCACAGGCTTCGCCAAGATACCATACTTGCTGTAACCAGTCTGAAATATAACCATATGAAAGTATAAAGATGCCTTGAATATTGTCACGTCAGCCTGAGTTATCTCCTCTGTTGATGGCAGATAGTCCCCTACCGAAAACACTTAATGCCACATTTACGTTCGTTATGTCGAGAATTGGCTTCAACATGTTGACCTTCTAGATAGTGAAAAGGTAACTCTTTCAGTTTAGTAGAGGAGTTCTCCTCCAAGGGAGTAATCACGTAGTTTGATCGCTCATACAATCAATTGACTGTTCAGATAGGACAAGATGTAGGCTCATGGAACATATTACTGACTTGCTTAAACGAAAGTAATTTCAATATGAATAGTATATGAATGATGTTCTCTCTACAGACCAGCGACACAGATGATGTGACTCCAGTGGTATGTATCTGGCGGTCCTACAACCCGACAAGCCGCGGAAGAACCACCGTAATCTTGGCTCCATCCCTAGGGCAGCTTCAGAGTACCATTACGTGTGTGGCACAGTATGAAAAAAAAGCAAATACAAAGGGCGAAAGAAAAGAAACTCCTTCGTGATACACAAGCTTTTGAGGTACTATTCCTCGGCGATGTTGACATGCCAGTGATGCCGGAGTGGAATGGAAAATGGAATGTTAAGCAAGGGAGATGTATATTTGTATATAGGATATGCCGTTTTTATAGCTGTGATTTTGATGTAGATAAGAGATAGGAGATGTGTACCTGGCTACAATGGATTTGCCCTTGCAGGAGCTTGGGAAGCTAAAATTTCCTATTTCGGAAATAGGCTGGTTGGCTTGCATATGAGGTCACTCTGCTCTATGCGTGCTCATTTCTTATCTACAAGCTATTGAAATGAGATATAGCACTAGATATAAGCACATAATGCACGAGTCATTGTACATTTATGCGAGAAACGAAAAATATTCTGTGGTACAAATAACGCACTTGGATCCGTAATTAGGGCTTTTTGACTCTGCGTTGGCGGTCTCGTCCTAGCCATCCATAGATATTGAACACGTCGAAATTCTAGTAGTTTTGCATAAACTACCGTCACACTGCGCATACGGAGTATACAAATAATGAAAACCCGTTGACAGCTATGGTACCTGTTAATCAGATCGGGCTTCGAATATGAATCTAAAGTCAGGACATATCAAAGGTCACCAGACGGGCAGGACTTTGTTCGTACAGCATCAAACCCCTATCTAATAGACATGAATAGTTTCACGGTCAGAACTACCTTCGAGGCCGTCACGGATCTCGAACCTCATCAATGCCTATCTACAGAAATGAATCAGACAAGAACAAATACCAACTGTACAAACCCGTTACACGCACCGCCAAGAGAAAGCTTGTCTTTTTGACATAAGCCACTATCTAGGCAGCTAGCCAAGTTAATCCATGTATAGACACTTGTTGGAGACTTCTGCTTATCTAGGTGCCTATCTAGGTTCGTATGTACAGTGGGGGTCCAGTAGTGTTGGCACCCCCCTCTTACCGCCCCCATTTACTGCCGGCAAAATTAGCCCGTTGAAATCGCGTCCCATCGCGTCAAATACAAATTATTATGAAAGTCCTATATCTTTATATTTTTCACCAAAAATCATGGCTCCTCGACGTCGTACAGCGCGTAAAGAACTAGACCCTTGTATGAGAGCTCGGATATGTGAGCTTCATACAAGCGCGCGCTGGGGCTATAAACGAATTCATAAAGCGCACCCAGAGATCCCTATATCAACTATTCGCAATACAATCAAAAAAGAGCATCAACGGGTTAATCAACGCTCATTACCTCGCTCTGGGCAGCCTAGCAAACTATCATCTGAGCAAAAAGAGAACCTCGTTCAGCTTACAAAAGAGAATCCTCATATTAAATTTTATGAGCTTCAAGAATCGGTGGATATGCGATGTTCAAAGACTACTATCCGTCGAGCATTCCGCAATCTTCATATGAGGAAATGGCTACAACGAGACCGCCCTGAAATCCTTCCTCAGAATGCAGAAAAAAGGCTTCAATGGGCACAGGTATGCTCATTTTACACCTACAGATTGGCAACGTGTAATATGGAGTGACGAATCTACAGTTGAACGAGGCAAAGGAGGTCAATTGATTTGGACTTGGAATGATCCTAGTGAGCAACTATCGTTCCCGATCACTCGATGCCTCCGATCACTCGATGCCCGCCCTTCCGAAAATTGCTCCAAGCTCTATAATTTATAATATATCTTCAACAAATGAAGTTATAATTATTAAAATTAAGATTATTAGATAAAAATGTGTGGTGAACAAACCAGCATAAGTATCTAATCCCTAAATCGTATAGGTAGGTTGATCGCTCGCCCAGAACGAGATATGCCTGTTTTTGGCCTCTTTGAAGAAACCTCCTCATTACTCTCGATAACCTTACTGTATCGCCTCTTTTTAGTGTTTACCTGCTTTGCTAGCCTTTCTTTAGCTCGCTTTACCTCCTTCTGGGCTTCCCGGGCCACGCGAAGTTGCTCCTTTTCAAGTTCTTTTTGACGCCTTTTCTCCTCTCGTTCACGGATTCGAGTCTCTCGCCGTTCCTGGATCTCTTGGGCCTTCTGTTGGCGCGCAAATGCCTTTTGTGTACGTCGGTTTGCTGCCTCGATCTTTCCTTGTTCCTTTTGTAACTCAATATTTTGTATTTGCTGTCGTGCAGCTTCAATTCTACCTGGTGAGAAGAATTGTGCCTCACCGGGATTATCCTTATTAATTAAACCCAGTGGCCGGCCTCGCTTCTGCCTTTTTTTCTCTCCAATTAATGCATCGACCAAGCCTTGCTGCTGATGTTCAAGTATTTCATTCTGTACCGCATATTTTTGAAGTGCTTTAAGAGCAAGTTGTGTAGCCTCCGATAGATCACTCTTTTCCTGTCGATGGCTTTGAGTGTACGACGAATTGCTCGAACAGATCCTGGAGACTTTCGTTTATTT